AGGGAGCATGGCCACGGCAGAGCCCTACTGAGCTCAGCTCCTAAAAACAGCCTCGCTGTTTAATCAGGAGCCAGGGCAGGCGGCTGGGGCAGTGCCCAAGGTCACCGTCGTCCCTGTCACCACGCAGCCAGAGGCTCCGCTGCGGCCCAGGCAGCTGCAGGATGCGGCTGTTACCCCCCACGCCCCAGCCCCCACCAGACAGAGCCTGTTTGCCCTGATAGAAGTTTTTATTACAGAACTTTAATGGCACTGCAAGAGGAAGATAGTTGTTAGAGCCCTAAAACCCAGCCTGAAAAATATACATTTTACAGAGATTGTTAACCCCCTGCTGCAGGTCTGGTCTCAAAGCAGGAAACTAGTTTCTCTTCAGTAAGAAAATATATGTTGCTAAATGAAAAATATACAGTTAGAAGAGTTACTAGCTTGCAAAGCTGCTTGTCTGGGGGTGTTAAACCTCTACCAGCTCCCGAGTGGTTTGTTCACATGTAAAAGAGGAAGAGGTATAGTGTATATATAAAAAGAAAAAAAAAAAGGCAAAGTTCAGGTACACTCGTTTGCTCCATCCAATTAAGAAATGGCCTTGGCTTCGGGTAGGAACGCTTCCCAGTACTTCACCAGCTGCAGGGAGGAGAGAGAGAGTGAGTCAGGAGCCCACGGGTGCTTTGCCAGCACAGTGCAAGGTGAGCAGCATTTTAGGGGGCCAAAAGCCCCTCTGCAGGGCACAGCCTCCCCCCTCAATGCCCCCTTAAAGGGCATTAAGGGGGATGCAATGCTTAAATTCTGTCCTGCTCCAGTCCACAGAGCTCAGCCCTCCCTAGATGTGGGGTGCAAGCTTCAGGAGGGGAAACCATGACAGGGACTGGGGCTGCTCACCTGCTGCTGCGAGTTCAGCAATGTCTCCAGGTATTTAGTGACGTGGTTCCTGAAGTCCTTCGATTTCTCTTTCTGCAAGAGAAACACAGAAAGGTTTGGGGTGGAAGAGACCTCAAAGATCATCTGGTCCAACACCCCGGCCACGGGGTTGGTGCAGGAGTGTGCACAAGGCTGAAGGAACCACCAAAACCCTCCGGCTTTCAGGGAGAGGAAGGAAAAACCACTAATATTTTTCCTGTTCCTCTTGGGGCCCCCCAGAGACCAGCGTGAGATGCGGAGGACAAAGCTCATCTCCAGCTGCAGCCTGGTAGCTCCAAGGATTTTTGCCCACCCGCAAAAGCCCCCTCTTAGCAAAAAGACATCAGCTCTGCCCACAGCAGCAATGCCCCGACTCCAATACCCAAAGATCACTAACGCCTGCGCCAGGAGCAGGGTCAGCAGCCCAGGCGGGCCCAGCCTGGTGTCCCACTCACAGCACATCGAGGCCGAGCAGCCGGAGGGTTGCGTGCCGCGGGCTGTGCCGAGCGTACCTCAAACCGTATCACTTCCTTGCGGATGACGGCAGAAATCCGCTCAAAGTCCCTCTCGTACTGCGTCACGCGTGACTCCCACTGCCAAGAGAGGAACCGCGCCGTTTCAGGGGACGGGAGGTGAAGAAGCTCCCGCTCCCCTCCACCAGTGGAGCTGCAACTGCTCGCACGAGAGGTGTTGCCAGAGTGAAACCCAGTGTTTTGGGCCCTCGCCGCCACAGCAAGCTGCAGCCGCTGCTTGGGGAAGGAAGCCACAGGAGGTGGGACCACTAGCAACCCTCCTGCAGCTTCTGGGGCTTCTTGTGGGGCTCGGTCAAGGCTGGCTTATCCCTTGGTACAAGTCTAGCAAGGTCCCTTCCCAGCTCAGATTTCCTTCTCAGAAGGTCCCCTTCTCACTGCTCAGCAGCAGAGCACGGAGCGAAGGAGCTGAGCAGAGACTCCTCCTCAGTCCCTACCTCCGAGATCTCCTCTTTGGCCTGCTGCAGCTTGTCGGGCTTGTTGGCCCAGAGCAGCCTGGCCTCCATCTCCCTCTTCTTCTGCAGCATGGTCTGGGCATCCTGCCACCGCTGCCAGGTCTTCATGCGCTGGTCGAAGGCTCCCTGAAAGGAAGGAGCAGAGACTGAGCACAGCTACCACAGCTGCAAGGAGCTCTGCTGACAGTGACAACCACACCTTTGACAAAGGGGACATCAGCTAACGGCAGAGCTGCTTCATCAGCGAGGTCCTGGACCAAAAGCTGAACCAGAACATGGACTTGCTCTACCAGCAAAGGAAACCAGGTAACGTCAACCAACTGATGCTTCACAAGCAGCTCTGGGGCCTCCCTCTGTACAGGGCTGCCCACCTGCTCCAGGGTTTGGAAGGAGTCACTGGGAAAGCCCCAGCTATGTGCAAGCCTGGACAGGCCTGAGGGCACCGATGAACTGGCAGGGTCCCAACCACGACGTCTAACCAGTCCCCAAGCTCTGCTGCCTGCCCGTTTCAGTCCTGCCATGGGGAGGGGCCTGTACGAGCAGCTCCCATGTCTGCCCCAAAATGGATCTCCACCACGAGCTCCTGCAGAGCTCAGTGCCTGCAGCTCCTGCTGCCCGCCCAGCACGCTCCTGCACCAGCTCGCAGGCATCTGCCAGGAAGCCAGGTGACTTTAGCAGGCCTGCAAATCACGAGCCCAAGCAAGGAAGACCCATTAGACTTCCAAACATATCCAGCCAGATCACGGGGAAGAGCGAGAAAAGGAGAAAGCAGTGTCTGATGGCCTGGTCAGAAGGACAGAGCAGCCAAGAGACAAGTAAAGTCTGAAGCAACCCCAGGGCTCCTCACCAGAACACCCCAGGTAAGGCTCCAGCACTATCAGAGGTCTTGGTCCTGCTCTGCAGCACCCACCACACCTCCCAGTACAGGCTGGCAGAGCAGGGAGGCTTGTGCCTACTCACCAGGCTGCGTTCTGGCCTCTGCAGCCTCCAGAAACAACTGCTCAGAGGTGGGACAAGTGTTGGGCTGGAACAAATCAGTCTGCCAGACTCAACTGGGACTGGTTTCTATCAGCCTGCAGCAAGGAGGCCAGTGCACCAAGCAGCCTGTGTGGACTTGAAGACTTACAGCCTCCGCAGCAGCCACAGCCTTTGTATCTCTGGAAGGATTGAGGCCACCTCCGAGCCATGAACTTGTTCCATGTCCTCACTGGAGACCAGCGGCACAGCTGGGCCTCACCTACCCCACTTTCCCGACCTAACCACTCCAACACAAGTGGACAACCATCAAGTTTGCCCTCTCCCTCTAGAGACTGGAGACACGCCATTCCCCACTATTTTGTTTAGAAGACCTCCTGGCACAGCTAAGCCTAAGGACCAGCGGCACAGGCTAGAGCTTACCAGAAGGAGCCCTTACCCTTACAACTGACAGGAGGCGGATGTAGTCTCCCAGGAGCTCAGCCAGGAGGAAGAAGTCATTGTTCGCCTGCTCCTGGTGCAGCTGCTCGATCTTCTCTTCCACCTCTGCCAGCTGGGACAGCGCCCGGGACAGGGCCGTGTTGTCCTCCGAGCTCCCCAGCATGGCCAGGCTCTTTGCGAACTGGGCTGTGTTCAACGCCAGCTCTGGTGAACAGAACAAGAGTCAACCGATGGCCCCGGCTACACCGGGGAGCGAGCTCTGCTCTGCAAGTAAAGCCCTAGCCTAGAGTTCAGCCCAAGGAGACGTCAGCTGGAAGAGCCAGCACCACCTCGGTCAAATCTTCTCAAAAGTGCCTCCTGTAACAGCCACGCACTGGTGGCCTCTGGTCAGGCGCCACATAAGGCTTAACCATTACAGGCCAAGCCACAGAGCAAGCAGTGCCCAGCTCGTTACCTTTCCGGTGGTTCACTAGCATTTCAACGACGGCGTGCAGCTTCCGTAGCCGCTGGTCCTCACACTCCACCTCCTGCAGCTTCTCCTCGAACCACTGAAATGGGTAAAGTCAGAGCTGATTCCTACAGACACCATCGCTGCAGGGCTCTCCTTGTGCCTCGCACCCAAAGTTTGAGCTGGGGAGAGGACACGAGGACAACCCAGAGATGTCCAAATACTTACTATGTCCGATTCATTCATCTTGATGGTCATTTTACTGACGGCATCCGTAGCTTTGTTGAACATCTTCAGTATTCCTGCTCCACTCAGGGTCTGGGTGCCTACTGCTCTCGGTAGCTATAAAGAAACAGAAGAGTTTGCTTTGCCAGATGAAAGCAGCTTGGCCAGCAGCCACCACAGTGGCATCGTTCTCCTGTGTGGGTCCCTTGACAGCAGGGTTTCTGCTCACAGCTACTGCAAAGGATTAGCCAGCCACCACCCGACCGGTGGCATGGCTTGTACAGTATTTCCATTAACGGGACTGGAGTGGTTTGCAAACAAATGGGGAGTTCCTAAACCTTACACCAGGCCCACGTCTGCCTGTTCTGCTTGGCCAAGGTAACACCAAGAACCAGCCACGGTACTTGAGCCCCTGAAGCGAGGGCTGCCCAAGCTGCCACACATGACGCAGGCACCTAGCATCTCTCCAACAGCCAGTAGCAGTGTGTGCTGTTGGGGGCCACCAGAGCAGAGCAGCCTTGATGCTGGGAAATGCTCCACATCGGCCACTCTTTTCCAGACAGAGCTGCATGTGCTTGGCAGCAAGGGGAGTTGTTTCCATGATGTCTGCTCCCCCACCAGAGCCCTCAGCACAGCCTCAGTGCTGGAATCACTCAGACCAGGGCTTCCTCAGAATCACAGAATATGAGTTGGAAGGGACC